ATCTTGAGAGTGGGTCTATAATTGAGGAGGTTGCCAATAAGAATCCAACCGATCTTATAAAGTTTGATTTTGTTCGAATTGATAATATAACACAATATGAAAAGGATAGTACTATCGATGTTATAGGCATGGTTATTAACGTTGATGATATACAACCAGTAATAACCAGAACAACACAAAAGAGCATTAACAAGCGTGATCTTACCATTGTCGATCAAAGTGAATGTCAAATCACATTGACATTGTGGGGTCAAAATACAGAGAGATATGGACCTTCTTTATTGAATACTGTTATTGCCTGCAAGAACGTGCGCGTCGGAGATTACCAAGGAAGAACGCTCTCCGCGTTCAATGGCACCACATTACTCACCGACGTAGATATTAAAGAAGCCAAAGAATTACGTGAATGGTTTTCCTCAAAAGAAGAGGGTAAAACTTTCACCTCTTTATCTTCATCAGGTTCTGTAACAATTGATAGAAACGAGCCTAAAAAAACGTTGGCACAAGTTAAGAGTGAAAAGCTTGGTAATGGTGAGCGAGCTGATTATTTTTCGACAAAAGCTACTATTTTGTTTATCAAAAGAGAAGGCGTTTCCTATCCTGCTTGTCCTACATGCAAGAAAAAAGTTCTTGAGGATGGAGATGAGTGGCGATGTGAAAAATGTTCACGAAACTATCCAGAACCTGATCATAGGCACGTATTAAAGTATTACTTATTTAAATTGGATTAGGAGACTTTTTTTTTACGTATGCATTTAATGATTTAGGTATATAACGACGATCAGTGTGGCTGACTTTTCAGATCATGCCTGGTTTCAATGCTTTAATGAAGGTGGTGTCGTTATCCTGGGACGCGAGGCCAAGGATCTTATTCAACTATGCGTGATTATTTTAATATTCTTTTTTTTTCTTTTTAAGAATTATGCAGACTTAATAGACCTTATTAATTTTGATATAATAGAATGAAAACTTAGATCTTTACGAAGAATGTTTCGACAAAGCATGCTTGAAATCATTTGTATTTCGATGTCGTGCTAAGACTGAAATTTATAATGTAAGTAAGGCTGATCAATGTTTGCTATTATTTTATGCTAATATGTTTTGCGCTTTAGGAGCAAAATCGAATTCGGTACACTGTAGCGGGAATAGCACCAATTGACTATGTCGCACGGACTCGAGATTTGTACCAGGCTATATGTCAAATGGAGGGGGCCGCCTAAAGGAGGGTTGTGACTAAGGTTGGTAAAGTCCTTAGGTCCGGACTTTAGGACTTGGTCTTTAAAGTTTAATATACAAATTTATAATAGCTTAAAATGAAATTATAATTTTCTAAAAATAATAAATTACAAATTTCTGCTATTGCATAATTCTGGACAGCCTAATCAATATATATACAGTATAATTTCAATAAAGTTTTAAATGCATAGTTTAAAATCATAATCATTTATTAATTAACATAGATTTAATTTCGTTCTCTATTTTTTTTTAGAATAAATCTATACGTCGCTACTAGCGATGTGCGTATACGTCGCATATATATATAGATTTTATAGGATAACTTTCTTATGATTGGTTAATCAAATTAAGATATACATGTGATATCAACCAATCAAATTTGTGAAA